TCTCTCTGCTTCCTGGTTTCCATGAAGTGGCAACCATGCCCTTCCATTACACCATTTCTGCCTTGGAGCCGGCAGCTGACCATTAATTGAAACCCCCAAATCATGAGATGGGTTTTGTGGGTATCAGGTATTTTGTCCCAGTGACAGGAAAGATGACTGGTACAATAATGAATTTTGTATCATTATTTGGGATCTTCCTCATTTTACTACATTTCTTTTGACACGGTGATGAACTCTCAAAATGCCATTGAAAAATCCAATTTCTAGTCTCCATGGGCAAGGTTATCTCACTGGGCTGATCAGTGAACAAGAGACCATGTATTGCATCTTATTAACCATTGGCCTTGTAAGCTGCCCCAATTAAATATACTTGTACTCCCTTTCTACATGAGATAATGATGTTTTCTTTCATTCACTTTCCAAAGGAGCAAAAACTAGAGATAAGGAAACCAGACTGTTGGAACTATGAGCCAATATGAATGTAGTGAGAATGGAGGGTGGAATTTCTATGATAAGTAGGAGATAGGATTAATGGGACTTACATGAAAGGGAGAGGTGTTGGGCACTAGGCTACATAACTCAGATCTCACAGTCTCGAGGTTGGTGTTATCTTGCCTCCAGAACAGTGAAGTATGCTATGCAGAAGGCTGCATGCCCCCTGGCTATGGGCAGAATGCTGATACCCTGGCACTCCTGAGGAAAAACAGCATATGCTGAGGACAGTTGTCAGTATACAAGCATTTGGGTGTAGAGAAAATCTGGTTCCTCATTAAATTAATCCTTATCCACCCATTCTCTATAGTTGCTGTTCCCTGAAACTCTTGCTGAACCTCCCCTTGCGCTTCTTGCTGGCAATAAAAGTGGGCCAACCATGGAGTTTTATTCAAGTCTGTCTGCTACAGGGCAGGTCACCTCCCAGTCACCTCTTTGTATCTTGAAAATTGTCTCTGTCTCTTTCTTTTATTCCTTGTCCTTACCCGAAAAAGGTAGCTGAGGGTCTGATCAGGCCTCAGTAGAGAGGAAAGAAACTAGAGTTCTGATTTACAGATTATTGGCTTGAGTAATTATTTTCTTTTAGAGTAATGCTGATGTATTCATTACATTAATGTTTATTGAACCTATACCATGAATCAGGTAGTGTCTTAGTTACTTTTTGTTGCTGAGACAAAATTCTGACATCCGTAAGTTAAAGGAGGAAAGGTTTATTTTGAATCACATTTTTTAGAGGTTTGAGTTCATAGCCAGCTGGCTCTAAAGCACGATGGCATAGCGGAGGACCGTGGCAGCAGGGAAACAGTCCATGGCAGGTCAGGCAGGGAGCAGCAGGCAGCAAGCTCCCCTTTCTCTTTTATCCCATCCAGGCTACAAGCCTTTTGGGTGGTGTCTACTCACACCCAGGGTAGGCCTTTGCATTAGCCACACTCAGAACTATGCTAAACCAATCATTGGACTAATTAATTACCTGTTATGGGCTGTATGTACATGTCTCTCCAAAGCCTCATGTGCTCATAGATTGTATTGGATCACAAAGTGTGAGTAAGACTTTACCAAAAATGCAAGTCTTACATCTAATCGGTCAAGGGAATTATAGTTCTGTTATTGTTTGGACCAAAAATGTCCCCCAAAGGGCTTATATGTTCAGAGGTGAGTTTTTAGAGGGGGATTGGATCATGAAGGCTCAAATATGAATAGGTGTTAGGAGATAAGGCCAAGTTGAAGGAAGTAGGCCATTGGAGGCATAGCCTGGAAGTGTCTGTCTTGTCCTCAGTGCCTTCCTTATTTTCTCTGCTTCTTGGCTGCCATGAGGTGAGCAACTTTCCTCTACCATGCTCTTCCACTATAATGCTTCTGCCTTGCCACAGGCCTAAAGCAATGGAGCCAAATGACCATGAACTGAAACCTCTAAAACCATGAGCTAAAGTAAATCTGTTTTTTTTTCCTTAAGTGGATTTTCTCAGGTATTTTGAAAAAGTGACAGAAAAGTAGCACAAGCTGCAAAAGTTCTGGAAGGGCATGACTACTGTAGTATAGTACTGACAGACAGATGGGACAGACTCATTGCCGCTTGTGTCTGTTGAGAGGAGCACTGACTGCCAGTCAGTTGACATAGGCTCAGAATCCAGCTTAAATATTGTACCCTTGTGCAAGTCATGTTGCCTCTCTGATCCTCAGCTTCCTTGCAAAAATTGTGATGGTAACACTTAATCTCAGGGCTACTGGAATATTAAAGTCCTTAGCACATGTGATACCTGAATTTAATTGTGTTAGATTTTTTGGCTTTGGGATCCACCTGGAGTATTGGTGGAGCACACTTCTGGGTGTGTCCGGGTGGGTCATGGAGGTGTGACCCTGGGTGCTTGGCCCCATCCTCTCTGGCACTGCTCTCCTGGTCGGCTTCCTGGCCACAATGAACTGAGTGTCTGCTCCACTATGCCTTTCGTCCATGCTGCTCCTTTGTTGGAGTCAGCTGACCATGGTCTGAATCTCCTGAAACTGTGAACTAAATAAACCACTGCTCCTTTAAGATGTGGGTGTCAGGCAGGAATTGTGTCCCAGCAATGAGAAAGCTGAATAGTACACTTACATTACATTAATAATTCTTTAGTAAAAAGGGAGAACTAACTTACATCCATACAGTACTTTGTTTTAGGAAAATAGTAATATTATAATTTTATTTTTATTTTATTTATTTTATTTATTTTTGGTACTGGGGATCGAACTAAGGTCCTTGTGCTTGCGCAGCAGGTGGCGAAACCACTGAGCTAAATCCCTGGCCCTATAATTTTTATTTTAAAGATTTTCAAATTCAATAAAATAGTTCCTGTGAAAAATACTAATTTATGTATGAGCTATCATTTACACCTACTAAACAACTACTCTACCCACTTTTCCTTTCTATAACCTAAGCTGGTGTATAAAATTCAATCATCTGGATGCCTGCGTGAGATCTACTTTTTTTCTTTGTGAACTTTCATGCATACGTTTGGAATTAAAATTGTTAACATTATATACTGAAAGCATGTACGAATAAAAAAAAATCTGTCATTTTCTTTTCTTAATCTCTCTTAGTTTGATCTCAGGGTACAATCATTGAATCTAGGAGGGTAGGGATAGAAACCTTCCCCTCCCCTATACTACACTCTGTAAACCAAGAAATCATAAAGGAGGTTAACATGAAAGACAGTTTTATTCAGATGCAGAATAGATTTACAAGTCAGGCAACACTTTCAGCTCAGGGAGAGTGGCTTGTGCTTTACAAAGTTCAGAGGTTAGAAACTGATGCAGATATGGGTGTTGGTATTGCTTATATCTAGGTGTCCCTCCAAAGCCTCATACACTCATAGGTGGAGCATTTGGGGGTGAGTGAATCGTGGAGGCATGATACTCATGAGAGATTTAGTCCACAGGTGAGTTTATAGCTAACTGTGACTTGGGAGGGGAAGCCTGGTTGGTGGAGGAGGGTCACTAGGGGCGTGGCCTGGAAGGGTTTAAATCTCCCTCTTCCCTTGCTCTCTGTGTCCCCCTGCCATGCCATTAGCTAATTTTCCTCTGCCACACTGCTCTGCGTTGGAGCCAGCAGACTGTGGACTGAAACCTCTACAAATTGTGAGCAAAAATAAAACTCCCTTCCTTTAAGTTTTGGGGGTTCAGCAATGAGAGAGTAACTAAGACAGGGTCTCAGCTAATTTGCTAAATTGCTCAGGCTGGGCTTAAACTTGGGAAATTGCGATCTTCCTGCCTCAGCCTTCCAGACTGCTGGGACTACAGGTAACTGCTATGATTCACTCTTGACAGTAGCATTTGGGATTCATGAACAAAGTTGCTGCTGGGAAACAATTCTCTGGGGGTCTGTCCAGTCTCTTGAGCATCTCAGGAGAAGTTTCTGTGCTTGTTCCTGACCCAGTGGTCTTACATCTTCTGCCAATGTCGATGAAACTGCAGCTGGCTACCTTGAAACTTGAAAGTGGGGTAAAGTATCAGGCACTGCACAGTTCCTAACAGTTTCAGGCAGTTGTTTCAGGAACTGCTGAGTTTTGCAGGACAATGGTGGTCTGATCGATTTAGTTTTGAGAAGGCTTCAGCAAAAATAAAAAATGAACAAAGCGAGGATAAAATGAAAGAAAACAGGTTGTTTTCCTATTAGATACCATGATAAATGAAAGAGCATTATGAATTGCTCCTGAGCACTGGGGAAGGGTGGATAGAGTGCACTAACCTTCAATTATTATTTAAACAGTAAACCTTGCCCCTCTCTCTTTCTATAGAATGTCTACTAATAGGAAAGGATGGAGTAAAATTGGTAGAAAGTGAGTATGATATAATAAGAATGAGGATGGAAATACATTTGAAGGAAGTAGTTTTCACAGCCCTTCTAAACTTGAATGTGGTCATTTTGCAGGTGTGCCCAAAGTAAGGGATTTTAAAGGGATTTTTGCCCAAGGGTCTGACTCTAGAGCCAGGAGGAGGCTCAGAAAAACTGTCCAATTCTTGTCATTTCATGCATGACACACTCAAGCCTATTCAGAGGAAGATACTTAAAAGGCCAAGTATGACAATAAAATCTAAGTTTTCTGAATCATTCTGTAGTGTTTCTCATACACATTTGCTCTCATGTCATCCTATGGTTTATCTAACTCAATTTTAAGATTTCTGAAGGCAAATACCATTTTGTACCGCTTAAAAGCTCCAACTACAGTGTATCAAATTCACTATTGTCGCTCTTCCCATCTAGCGCTGCCAGAGAGAGCTTTCTTCCCTTACAGAAATGCTCCATACTGGTACGGCCCAAGATAGTAGCCAAAAGCCAGGTGGCTATTGAGCACGTCATAATGGGACTACTGCGATTGAGGAACTGATTTCTTTATTTCATTTAATTTTAAGCAAGTAAAATTCACACGTAAATAGCCACATTTGGCTAGCAGCCACTATCGCGAGCATTGCGATAACCAGCAACTGCGGCAGCAGAACGTGAGGAAGGTAGGAGTGCACGTGAAACCAGAGCGTTAAAGGGGCGGGGCCTGTGGCAGAAACGGTTGCTGGGAAGGCACTGACCGCAGGTTTCGCGAGAGTGTCCTGTGAGCGTCATCTGGGTCCTCGAAGAGGCAGCGGCTAGGCCTAATTGCAACCCGGAGCCATGCCTTCGGTTAAAAGAAGGGTCAGCAGACTTAAGCTGAAAGAGCTGGAAGTGAAGAAGGTATGCCAAGTCGTGAAGGATTCTGAAGGAAAGGAAGGTGTGGAGAATCGGCCTCTTGTTGTCTTCACGGGTATCAGGGCAGGCCAGCATCGCCGGGAAAGGGCAAAAGTGAGACGTGAGCACGCCGCCCGCCGGTACTTTGTGCGCAAGATGTGGATTTTCCGGGCCCTTCTGATACTCTCAGTGTTCATCTGGTTGTTGATGCTGTTCACCTCCTTTCAGTTTGGTGAGTGTTGAGGTCAGGGTGTCGCTTGGCGGTGACGGGGTGGGGGGGCAGTGACTGCGAGTTTCTGTCCCACTCGAGGCTTTCTGTTGTTATGTTTGGTTTTTTGAGACAGGGTTTCGCTGTGTAGTCGGGCTGGCCTTGAGCTCACTATGTAGCCCAGGCTGGCCTCGAACCCACGGTGACCTCCTCAGTGCTGGGATTACAGGCCTGCGCCACCACGCCTGGCTACCACGAGCCCCCCCCCCCCCATTGTCCTCGAAGTTCTTCCTCCTCTGCCCCGACTAATCATCAGTTCTCTCTCGTCTGTGCACAAAGCCCATCTCTCCCCAGCTGCTTTCCAGAAGACGTTCCCTTCTTAAATTTCCTTCCCCAACGCTTTCTTTTCCTCACTTCCCCTCAACAAAATGCTAACCTCCCATATCTCTCCCTTTTTGGTCAAGTTGAAATTTATATAACATAAAATTAACTCCAGAATTTTATAATCAAAGTTCGGGGGACTTAATACACTTAAATGTACAACCATTACCCTTATCTACTTACAAAATATTTTAACCACTCCAAATTAAAAGCCATACCAATAACTCCCAATTCCCAAGCCCATAAGTTGCTTTATTCCTTTGTAGGGCTGACTAGTATTCCATTGTGAGCATATGCCGCATTCTGTTTATCTATTTATCAGATTTATCAATTTTGGGTTGTTTCCACACTGGGGCTATTATAAACAATGCTGCTGTGAACATTCATCTATGAGTTCTCGTGTAGATGTATTCTCAGTTCTCTAGGCGTAGAATTGCTGGATCATATGAGAACTCAAGTCTGAACTTTTGAGTAAGTCTCAGACTTATTTACAAAGTGGCTGAACAATTTTACATTTTCACCAACAATATTTGAGGGTTTAAGTGTCACTAGCATTTTCCCCCTCCTTTGATTAAAGCCTTCTGACTAGATATGAAGTATGTTATTAAGATTTTGATTTATGTTTCCTAATAACTGAGATTAAGCATTTTTTCATGTGCTTGTTTACCATTTTTACATCTTTGGAAAAATGTCTTTTCACATCCTTTGGCCATTTTAAAATATATTGTATGTGGTCTTGTTGAGTTGAAAGGATTTTTATTCTGTTTATGAGATCCTTATTAAATAATATGATTTGCAAATATTCCCTCCCATTCTGAAGATTGTTTTTTGCATTTTCTTGGTAGTGTCCTTTGGTGTACAAAAGTTTTGATTTTGTAAAGTGGGAGTGCTTTCTTTTAATTTGGTTGTTTGGGTTTTTGGTATCACACCTAAGAATCCACTGCACAATCCAAGGTCATGAAGATTACTCTTATGTTTTTGTCTAAAAAATTTTATGGTTTTAGCTCTTATATTTGAACGGTTGACCCATTTTGAATTAATTTTCCTGTATGACTAGTGTTAGCGGTTCAACTTTCTTCTTTTGGATGTGGATATCTAGTTGTCTTAGAACTATTTGTGAAGGGATCATTCATACTCTTATTAAATGATCCTGACACCCTTGTCAAAAATCATTTCTGTATGGATTTATGAATTTACTTCTGGACTCCCACATTTATTCTATATGTCTATTCCTATGCCAATGCCATAATCCTTTGAGTAATGCAGCTTTATAGCAAGTTTAGAAATTGGGATGTGTGAGTTCTCCAATTTTGTTTTTTGTCCATACTATTTTTACTAGCATTTAAAGCCCTTTCTAACTCTGTATCAATTTGGGGATCAGTTTTTCCATTTCTGCAAAAAGGTCATTGGAATTTTGAGAAGGTTGAGGTTTCTGTGGCTCACTTTGGGTAATATTTTGCCATCTTAACAATATTAAGTCTTATGATTTACAAACACAAGGTATCTTTCCATTAATTTGTGTTATCAGTTTATTTCAGGGATTTTTTTTCTGTTGTTTTTAGTGTACAAGTCTTTAACCTCCTAGCTTAAATTTATTCTTTGATATTATTATTCTTTTGAATGTTATTGTAAATGGAATGGTTTTTGTTTCTTTTTCAGATTGTTTATTGCCAGTGTATAAAAGCACGACTGAGTTTTACATATTGGTCTTGTAACCTGTAAATTTGCTGAATTTGTTTATTAGTTCTAGTAGGTTTTTTGTGGACTTATTTTTGGATGTTCTAAATCTAGACTTATATTCTTTTTTTTTTTTTCTTTGTAGTACCGGGGGTCAAACCCAAGATTCATATTATTTGTAAATAGAGATAGTTTACTTCTTCCTTTACAAATGTGGATGTGTTGTATTTCCTTTTATTGCATAATTGCTTGGTCTAGAACTTCTAGTATACTGTTGCATAGCAGTGGTGAAAATGGGCCTCCTTGTCTTTTTTTTTTTGGTACCAGGGATCGAACTCAGGACCTTGCCGCTTGCAAGGCAAGTGCGGGGCCACTGAGCTAAATCCCCGGCCCTAGGCCTCCATGTCTTAAGGGAAAAGCTTTCAGTCTTTCACCATTATGTTGTTTACTGTTGGTGTTCTTTAACCATGTTGAGATAGTGTATTTATAAAAGTTAGGACACCACTGAGAGCCTTCTCATCCTCTGAAAAACAAATTAAAAAATAAAACTATTTTCTATTTCTATTTTGAGTAGAATTCCCACAAAAAAGAATACTGCCTATTCAGTGTAATTTCATTTCCATGGGGACTTTTTCCGTGATAGGGGTAACATAATTTTTCCTAAAATAAACCATGATCCATTCTTCATATTGTCAGATTTCCCAGATTTTCAGGAATTAATATGTGGCTACATGGATTAAATATAATTTTGCATTTAAAATGACTTCACTTAATGTAACTAAATGCATTGTGTTATGATTTGCATCAATGCCCCCCCCCATAAATTGGCATTCTAATCTGTAATACCTCAGAATGTGACCTTAGTTGGAGGTAAGATCTTTATAAAGGTAATCAAGTTAAAAGGAAGTCATCTGGATTGGGCTCTAACCCAGTGTGATTAGTGTCCTTATGTAAAGAGCAAATTTGCACCCAGACGCAGATGCTCATAAAGAGAAGTTAAGACTGAGTAGACATAGGGAGAAGACAGCCAAGGAGAGAAACCTTCTCTCACAATCCTTAGGAGCCAAGCCACTAACACCTTGAGTTTGGACTTCTAGCCATGAGAAGAACTATAAGACAATAACTTGATGTTATAAGTTACCCAGATATGTATGGTACCTTTGTTATGGCATCATGCTGCTAAGCACCAAGAGATCAGATAATTTGACTGTGGCCCTGCAGTATTATAGTGAACACAGAGTATGGGATTGTTATGACCTATATCTAGATGTCTCCCCAAAGCCCCATGCAAGTCATAGATGGGGCTTTTTGAAGGTGTCTGGGATTAAGTGGGTGATGCTGAGATTAAGGGCACCCCACCCTGGGTGTGGGTGGTACTAATTAATAGGTTTACAGCCTGGATAGAATATAAAGGGACAGAAAGAAGCTGTTGTTGCTTGTTGGCTGCCACTGCTACTGGTTGTTCCTCGTGGCCCTTCCACACCATGGATTGTTTCTCCTCTGTGATGCCCCTCTGCTGTGCCACCCTGCTTTGGAACTAGTTGACTGTGGATTGAAACCTCTACAAACTGTGAGCTGAAATGAACTTTTCCCACTCTAACTTTGGGTCTTGGGTATTTTGCCTCAGCAACGGAAAAAGTAACTAAGACAGTGGTCCTGGTACTAAAATTCTTTTTGTCATTCCTAGATAAACCCTTGGTTTTCTTAGAATTTTTTTCTTCGGCACTAGAGATTGAACCCAGGGCCTCACACTGAAATACATCTCTAGCTTTTAACATTTGTTTTTTGTTTTCTGACATCATCTTGCTAAGTTGCTCTGTATGGTCTCAAACTTGGGAATCCTCCTGCCTCAACCTCCAGAGTAGCTGGGATTATAGTTGTGCACCACTCTGCCCAGTTTCTCTTGGATTTAATACCACCAAGAGGAATCAAGGTTGAGTGACCTAAGGTAACCCTGGGATACATCCAGTTTATATTGTCATTTGGATTCCAAGCCATGTTGCTTTTCAGGGCATGTTTATACAGAAGGCATACAGGCCAGAAGCATGCAGGATGAGAAGCTAAACATTGGGGACAGGGAATTTTGTGAGTGCTTCTACCAATTCTCTGTAATCTGTTGAGCCAGTTCTTTTTTTTTTCCGAAACTTAAAAAAAAGACTTTATTTATTGAGGGCAAGAGGATGCAAACAATATAAAAATCAAAAGCTTATCTAGCATTTATCTAACTTTCCTTTTTCTGCTTGTCCAATGAGAGCTGGATGTTATTTGTACATTTTCTGAGGGTCCTGATCTACTCATGAAATCTTTATACAAGGGGAAACTAAGGGGCAGATTCTGTAAGTGGCCCTTTGGGAGAACTCTCATCTGGGCAGGAGTAAGTGTTCAATTCTGCCTGCTTCTTTCGCTTCTGCTTCATGTGTACTACAAAATAATCATTGCACTCAATGGTGAGGCCTGCGATTAGTGAAAAGAAGCTCTGGAAGCCCACTTTGCCATCTCGGCGCTGGTCCAGGTCCTTCATGATTTTGTCCACAGCCAGAGGATCTTTTTGATTTTCCAAAAACCCAGGGAACTCCTTTTCCATGAGTACTTGCAGGTCCTCCTTCGTTAAGTAGCCTTTGTCCCCGGCAAATTTGTGAAATGTAAACATCATGGTTTCCATGGCGTATTCCATTTGGGATGCCATTTTGGTGAAGTCTGTCGAAACTGGGGCTCTCGGGCTGCGGGCAGCGGCCTGTTGAGCCAGTTCTTATTGCTCATCCTTTTCAGAGGAAAATTTTTAAATGAGAAACACAGATGAACAAACCAGTAATATTTTAATTGCTTTATCACCACAGACAAAACTCAGTAGTTTCTTGTGTTATCATATTTGAATATCTCACTTGTTTACATAAATGTATTTATTTTAAAAAGGAAATTGTTGGAACATTATAAATGGAAAATTGGTTGTATTTGCTATTCGGAGAATTATAGTATTTATCAAAATAAATATCCTAAAAACAAAGTAATGTTATTAAATTTAAAATTTTCAACAATAAAAATAAACAATGGAATATACATACAAAAGTGTTTACTCATTTAATGTTGCATTGAGCACTACATGACTTCATGTAATCCTTATAATCCCTCAAAATAAACACTATCTCCATTTTACAGATAAGTAAACTGAGGCAAAGTGAAGTTTAGCAACTTGCCCAAGTTCACCAGCTAGTATATGACAGAGCCAGAATGCAAACTCAGGTCTGTTTGAAGCCAAGACCCAGAGAGGGATCACCATAGGTAGCCATTCAACCAAATATCCAACAAATCCCTTGCAGAATGGAAACCAGTAGCCATTGTTCTCAGTCTGTATCCTCTCCTGCTGTCATTCAGTTCCACATTTGACAGATTTTTCCCTAGAGCCGGGCTTGCAGCATATTTTGCACAATGAAAACACAGGCTCCCTTGTTAGAGATTTATTGCAGATTTCAGGTTGTCAGTAGCAGAACATTAAGCCAAGCATGTGGTCCCTCTAAGGGCAGGGGCCCTGTACAACTCAGACCACATGACCATTCAGCCCTCTGAACCGAATCTGCTTTTTCTTTGAAGTGTTAGAGTTTTAGTCTTTATATTTTGTAACAGGGAAATTTAAAAAAATAGTTTGTGACAGGGAAACATAATTGGTTCTTTAACTTTTCCGGCTGCTATTTGAGGAAGCTGACTCCTAATAATCTTTTATTTGCGGAGCATGCTAATGAATGGAAGGATGCAAATTTGAGGCCAAGAGGATGAAATTATTCTGCATATGAAAAGTGATGGAGGAGGGGTAAGAGGCTGTAGGTTTCTTGGAGAGAAGGATCTGAGAAAAAGATTTGTATGCTGTCTGGCTGATGGGAGATTTAGAAGAGAGGGAATGAAGGAGACAGTACCCTGGGCAAGAAAGGACAAGGATGTTTAAGCGGATTTTATAAAGATTTTCCATATGGAAAATGATGTCACCTTTGTTATGCATCATTGTAGGTTTGATGTGCTATTATATATTCTACAATTTTAAATACATAAATAGAAAAAATACATCTGTAGGTATTCATTTGTATTCCACCTAAAATTCACATGTACTATTAGTGGTGCTCATACCAAATTTTGAGAAATAATTGTGTTGTAGAATAGAGAAGAAACTAGAGGTAGAGGGCAGGTTAAATATGCTCAAGACTTGTTCAGACCACCACTGGTAGTACTTATGTGAGTGAAGATGTTTAATTGCCTCTTCCATTTCAAATACCCATTGAAATGACCAAAAGATCTATAATGACGAAAACCTGGAAAACCATAAAGATTACCATCTGCTATCTGTATGCCAGAAACTTGGAGGGTTTATTTTTAAAGCCAAACATTTATTGGTACATTTTAGATAAACATAATGATCACATTCATCATAGGAAATTTGTACCTGTGCATAATATATCTTGCTTCTTTTTTTCCTATGCCCGCTCCCTTTGACCCCTTTGGAGTGTTTTTTGAAAGAATAAGGCCAGACAAGACTGACAGAAGTCACAGCAACCTGTGTTTCCCCTCAGATTTAGGGGAGCTGGAGACCAAGGCCCTCTGAATTAGAGTGAAAGTCGGGGGATTAGTCTCTGTACTTGAGGAACTGCAGAGAAGATGCCACAAGGAAGACTCAGGCTGCCATGTGCACCTCTCAGGCAGCACTTCAGGTGGTGCCGGTCCATTGTGGGAGGGAGTGCTGAGCAAACAATGGGCTGGGCGGGGCAGACGGAGGTCCTGTCAAGGCTTCTTTTAACTAACTGATTAAAACTCAAACAAAGAGCACAAAATTTGAAATAAGCTCTGACTAGAGGAATAGTTTTTATTTAATAAAGAATATTTGCCTTCCATCCACAGGTAACATTATACAAGTCAGGAAAGACTCAAGAATGCCTATTATCATGCCTGTTATTCAGCATAGCTTTAGAAGTTCTAGGTAGTGCAGTGTCAGAAGAAAAACAAATGAGCTGTTAATACTGGAAAGAAAGGAAACGAAACTGTCTATATTTAGTGATGATATGATTGTCTATCTGGAATGAAAATAACGAGTCAATTTATAGGTTAGAAAAATACATGAAAAATCAATAGCTCTCTTAAATACCAGTGATCAGCTAGAAAATATAGTGAAATTGACCTTAGTTATATAATAACAGAATATTTATGATACCTGAGAAGAAAATACGAGAAAATGTAGGACCTGTGTGAATGCAGCTATAAAACCTTATTCAGGGCCATAAAAAGAGACTTGAATGAATGGGCAAACAAAACAGTCCTTAAGTGAGAAAATTTTGTAAAGTCATCAGTTCTTCATAAATGACTATAACTGAATTCGTGCTTGGTGTAAAGGACACATGGTAAATACTTTTTGAGTGAATACTAAATAAATGAACAAATAAAAATCTATTAGGAATTTTTTGACTTAAGAAAATAGTTCCAAATTTTATTTAAAACCTTTTTCATCTTGATACATAAAATTTTGATAACAAAGACTACTAATGAAATATTTGCCAGATAAGCTATTATAGTGGGTAACAACATAAGATAAATTATAACAATAGTATTGTGGATGAACATATAGATTTGTGAAACAAAAAGTCAAGACATCTATATGAAGACTTAAAATATGATGATGATATAATGAGGGGAAAACAATCGCTTTTGTTTGGTTTATTCAAGAATTACTTCAGCATCTTTAGCTTCTGTGGCCACACAATTGCACCAGGCATCTTTTCTTTACAGTTTCTTAGATAACTTTTTTTTTTGCTTTCGCTCACAATATTGTATTATATATTTTATAAGAACCTAGAAGAGAGCAACCTGAAGTCTCTAAACATAAAGGAGAGGGAAATGCTAATTACCTTGGTTTGATCGGTGGGTGCTGTATGCATGTGTTGAAATACCACAATGTACTCAATTAATATGTACAATTAATATGTATTGATAAAAATATAAAGGATAGATCAGTAAATGGTATTTGGTGAGTTGGAAAAATGTATCCTTACTTGATAATAAACTCTCAAACATATAACAGGTAGATTAAAGCTTTTAAGAAGTGAAACCACAAAATTGGTAAATGGAATAGAGTGTAGAATGTCTCTGTAAACATCACTTGAAAAGCAGAAATAATAAAGTAAGAGATGATAGATTATAGTACATAAAGATTTTAAACTTCAGAACCTTCCCAAATACTATAGCAAATACAAAAGTAATAATTACCTTGAAAAAAATACTTGCAGCATGTTCCAAATTAAGGCTTAAATTCTTTATGGTACACAAATGTATGCAGGATGTAAGCTTACTGGTTACTAAATGTACAAATTAAAACAAAATCTTTTTTTTTATTTTGGCTGTTCAGTTGGCAAATAACAAAAGGGTAGGGTGCAAGAAGATTGGCACTTGGCTGTATTTACTGGTAGAAGTGTACTTTGGATTAGCTTTGCTGGGGAGTAATTTGGGCATGGTCAGGAGTCATTCCTTAAGAATTTATCCAGAGGACTTTTTTATGAATATCTGAAAATAATATAGGTCCAGTAATAAGCACCACAAACTAGTGATAGTCACTGTAATGTTTTTTAAACGTCAAATTGCAGGGCTGGGGATTGAGCTTTGGTTTCGCCACCTCCTGCGAAAGTGCAAGGACCGGAGTTCGATCCCTGGTACCTAAAAATAATAAATAAATGTCAAACTGCAGACAACCTGAATGTCTTCCTATAGAGACATGGTTAATAGTTATAATTTAGCCATATAATGGAATACGGTGATGCCAGAAAATATTTAATGATACACAAATCCTTGCTTTCTTTTCTTCTTATATAGGAGAATATTATACAAAGAAGACTAAAAATAAGTTCTTTGAAGTAGCGAGAGAGAAAGGTAAGAAAGTTTTACTGTATGTGAAGACTTAATTTTTATCAGTTTATAAGCAAGTCAGCATATTTGTGAAGAGTTTCTGCGATGCATTCTGATTTAATTGCAATGCATACTGTTTCCAGTTTGTCAATTGATAGACCTCTCATATCAGAGCTCTTTGGCAGGGGCAAGTGTACTAATGTAAATCAGTTTACCGGGCAACAGTGAAATATGTCAACCTATAGCTTAAACATTTATGAATCTAATACTTTTTCAGTTTCAGAGAAGAATCACATTCTGATTATTAGTACCTAAGCTGTTGTAAGATTGAAATATATTATCTATTAGCTATTAGACTTTCCATAGTTAATTTAAGCAAAGCTTATTACTATTACATGGTCATTTAAAATTATGAATGCTTTATATGGGGGGATTAATCATGTTATTTCTTCTTCAGGGTTTTCAGAATCCATGTGTCCGAATGAAGTTAACCTGCAGAACAGCAAAGTCAGTGACCACCCTCTGGAAAAAACATCCACTTGGGAAGTTCTGTTCAATTTTTTCCTTCCAACAAGTATGTTCTTGTTTGATTTTTTTCCCCTCTTAATGTCCTTGTTTTAAAAACAGTGGTTAAATATTTATGAGGTAGCCTGGTACATCAGCATTGAAATGGGACAGACCTGAATTTGAATCCCGACTCTGTCCTTTGCCTTAGGCAAGATAATCTCTCTGAACTTCAGTGTCCTCATCTTTAAATTGAAGGTATTTACCACAAAAATTACAAGGGTGAACCAAGACAGTATTTACAAAGCATACTATAGATGTTTGTTCTTCTTTTTTTTTTTTGGGTACCGGGAATCGAACTCGGGACCTTACACTTGTGAGGCAGGCGGTGGAACCACTGAGCTAAATCCCCAGCCCCATGTTTGTTATTCTTTATAAAATACTTCCCTTTCACAAATATTTAAAGCTTTCACAGTTTACCTGAATGGCTTTGCCTGAAATTTAATAACTGACCTAATACTGTGAAATTGATACCTTCTGTGACATTAAGCATGATATTGTGTGGGGTGATATTGTGGAATATACCAGATGTTTTCCCATCTGTTTTAATAATAATAAAGTCTAGGTTTTAAGTCACATTATCTTTCTGTGATTTTGTATATAATGTGTTTATAAAGCACGTGATGACCTTTGAGAATTATTAACCACAAATAAACTTGTTTTGTGTAGCATGTGGTACCCTTTCAAGGAGAATCATCACATAAATTGACATACGTGAATTACAAACTTAAAACTTTTATTAAAAATCATGAATTTATTCGGATAAAATTTGATGTGTGCATGTAAGCACAAAATTATATCCATTGTTTAATTCCAGACCCTATCTCTGGGTTCTTCTGTGACCTTGTATAAATCTCTTCATGTTTTTCTGGTTTCATCAAGTATAAACTAGTCATTATACTACCTACTACCAATGAGAATAGCAAAATAAATGAAGTTTTAACTAAATTACAAATACTGCCATGGTCAAATTGAAAAAAATCTAAGAAGGTGTTTTGTTGTATAGACTAAAATAATTATTTACTGAGTATCAAAGTTGGTATTAAACGACAATAGATCATAATTTAAGCTTTGGAACTTCTGAAAATAGCAGGTGTAAATGGTTACAAACACGTATGAGACTGCATTATATAAACACTTAAATCACATTTAAAAATGGTCTTTTTAAGATAACTACTTCCCTATGTTTCTCCAACCCAAGACAGTAAATTGAATAAAAATCAACTGTATGAAACAAAAGCAAATTACTCCATTTTAATACAAGCTCCTAATGTAGACCAATTCAAATCTTTTAAAACAGAGATTCAATATTTATAAGACATTTTCATTCTGGAAAGAATAACTACAAACTAGCTAATGGAGAAAATTTTGAATGTCTCAACACAAGGAAATGATAAATGTGTAAGGTGATGGATATACTAGTTACCCTGATCTGAACATTACACACTGTATACATGTATTGAAATATCACAGTTTATCCCACAAATGTGTAAATAATTTTTCAGTTTAAAAGATAATAACTACAGGTTCATAAAAAGTGAAACATTTTAATCACCCTTTCCTCCCATGTAATCGAAAATATACAGTATTACCACTTAAACATTAAAAAGGTATGTTGTTTTGTTGTTAGACTGTTGTTTGTGAAGCATGTATCTCTTACAGGTGAAAATAACTTTGAGACAGACTGGTAAGGGAGCTTGAGAGGTCATCTGATCCTTTTCTCTTTGGACAAAATTATCTAAAATCGATAAAATTGCTCTATTCTATTCTTTAAAATTACAAGTAACAAAATAAAATAAAATTACAAATATTTCTTAGGAATTTGAAAGTTAGTTTAATATCTAGCATAAAGTCTGTCAGATGCAATTTAAGTATAAAATAACAGAAGCTCGACATTGGAAGAGACCATAGAGGTTAGCTAGTCCAGTTTCTCCTATGAGTAAAACTCTACCTTTAGCATTCCTGGAAAGTGGTATTTAAACAGTGATAATGGCAGTAAATCATTTCATCTCTGACTAGGTCCTGACTAATGTCACACTTTACTGGGTGTGTGATAGTCAGAACTGAACTGAGTATTCCAGATATAATCCCAGTTGGAGGAGATGGGGCACTCTGGACATGAAGGAACTGAAGAACAGATTGCTTAGAATATAGAAAAACAAAGTAAGATAAACTTACATGTCTGAAATGCTTGGGAATTATCTCAGCCAACTTGTACTGCATTAAATTTGTGACCTTGTACAAGTTACTTTCGTCCTTTATTTCCTTTTATTTTCATTTTTTGTTTTTAAATTTTAAATTTTTATGAGTGCATGTTTGCAGTACATAATGATTATATTCATCATTGGGAGTTGGTATATGTACATAACACATCTTAATTCTTTTTATTTTTAAAATGGAGGTTATAAAACTCAGTTTGGAAGTTTGCTATGAAAATTAGTAGCAATATGTATAAATAAAGTCACTGGCCTAAATGGGTGCCTAATGAATGTTTGGCATTATTGTTTTTACTTTAGCTTCAGGCCTTGCCCATCTTTAAAGAACAGAAATATTATATAATAAAATGTACTATGGGGTTAAATATACTTAAAACACTTCTGTTGTTCATTGCTGATGTTGAAATGTTTCAGAGTGATTGTAACACATCACTTACTACTTTTAAAAGTCTGTAGTTACTGACAGTATAGAAGATTGAACTGAATCTCTTTTGACCTTCAGAGATACCATAGGAAGTTTTTCTTTTTGAATAAAAATCTGATACTGGGCTTTTTTTTTTCTCATATAAATAAGATTTTTTAAAACAATAAACTTTGTGCTTGAAAGTCTTTTAGATTCAGGTATATGTAAGTTTATTGTAGGTGTATCAGCTCTTGGTGTTCACACCATAATTTATTGGTTATTTAAAAGTATGGAATCACAATTTAAGGACAAGTGGAAGAATCTTAAAATATATTCTGTTGCCTATATGATAAGTGTATACCAGAGGTAGTTTAGTAACTATGTCTTACCTTACTGTCTAGCAGTAAACTGTGTAGATTTTATTTCAGTATTCTCATTGATGTATTCAATGAATTTCTGTACCTTAGTAAAATTACATGAGAGGATATCTGTCATATCACTTTAATGAAGTGTTAGTTTTAAAGGTGTTGGGCCTGTTTAACTCTTTCTGTGTTATGTTTACATTGGCACCTGTTTTAGTTACTTTCTCCTTGCTGAGACACAATACCAGACACCCACAACTCTGAGGAAAGCTTTATTTTGGCTCACACCTTTTTTAGTCCATAGTCAGCTGGCTCCAAGGCAGAGTGGCACTGCAGAGAGGAATGGTAAAAGGAGGAAGAGCTCCTGGTGTAGAAAGAGAGAGAGAGGGGGAGAGAGAGAGAGAGAGAGGAGAGAGGAGAGAGGAGAGAGG